TTACATAAACGTGTGTATGGGGGATTAACCCTTTCACTGCCACAGTTCTGACAAAGACTGTTTTCTGACTGCCAGGTTTTTTTTACTAGTAACCTCAAAAAATCACTCTCAATCTTTAATGGCTTATATCTCAGTCAGTTTTTAAGATATTAAAATGGAATTTTCAGGATAGTATCTGGAATAAACAAATATTTTTTCTACGTTGTCAGGGGGGGTGATCGGGTCATGTGACCTGACTTTCATTGCAAGGCATTATGGGTTTCTTAAAAATAACTATTTTACATTAAATTTCCCTTTCATTTCTCTTTGTATTTTTTACCTAAAACACTAACAGGACTTAACTCAGCTGAACAATCTCTTCATCATAACTTTACAAAGTTACATTCAAGCATAAAGGCTAATATTCTTCCTAAAAAGTGATTTTTAGCAACAAGTTTGCTGTTGCACCACTAACAAATAATGACAGTGAATTTTATAAAGACAAAGAAACAAATATGTCTTAATTTATTCTCCATCATAACAAACAGGAGGGTTTATGTGTCATATCACACAGTGTGTTGTGTACAAGTGATACTGAGCAGTACCATAGTGTAATGTTTACAAGTTATACTGACGCAAAGTGTGATAACGTTCAAAACAAGGAACAATGCATAATGCTATATCACACTGCTTGCAATAAAAAGAAGTTTGCACCCTTTTCTTATTTTTCCTGTCAAAGCAAACCCGACAATCAAGTTTTTGCTTGGGGTTCTAATTTTTTCCTAGGAAATGGCGTCCAGTAAGTCTTAGAGGGTCTGGGGTATCTGAGGGCCTCCCATTTTGAGGCTGAGGCGGGTTCCAGTCCCTCAAAAGCCCAGTTATTACTTGCTCTCTAAACTTTTTAGGGTTCACTCTTTTAGTGGAGTTTGCCTTCTTGTAAAGAATAAACCCATTTACGAGGGCAATTTCCCTGGCCCTATGGAAAAGGGTATGATACCATTTGACACACTTGTGAGGAAATTGGTATGTGCCTAGCATTTGGTCAAGGGTGTCAACCCCACCCATGTTTGAATTGTATCGATCAGCGATTACTGGCTTTTCAACTTCCCTATAACCCCCTTCCCCATTCTTACTTCTAACAGCCTTGTCTACTGTCAAATTATTCTCAACAGTACTCAAAAAGGTAACACGTTTTGTGTCTTGCCATGCACAGGCAACAAGATTATCTGAACGCATAAAAACAGGTGGTTCTCCCTTTTTTAGAGACAATCTTGATGGCAAGAGCTCTTTTGGCATTTGTTTCCGATTTACTTTCACAGTTCCACAGGCACCAATGTTCTCTTGCTCCAATTTCTTGAATAGAGATGGAGCAGAATAATTATTGTCCATGTAAACAATGTGGCCCTTGTCCTCGTATCCTTGCACTAATGACAAAACAACCTGTTCCGAAAGGCTGACCCCTTTATATCGAGGAAATGATGCTTTGCCAGTGTAGACAATGGACCTCAGGCAATAGCCAGTTTTTGCCTCAGCAAGCACAAACTGCTTGATCCCCCACCTTGTGGGCTTGGCTGGAAGGTACTGCCGAAAAAATAGTCTCCCCTTGAATTTGACCATACTTTCATCCAAGGAAAGGTCACGTGCTGGCTGATACCACTTTTCATAAGTTGGGTTGACTATGTCCAACAAAGGTTGAATCTTGAATAAAGGATTGTAACCTTCTTCACCCCTGGCAATTTGGTTTTCAATATTGTTAAAATGCAGAAATGCTTTTAACAGTTCAAACCTTTTGCGTGACATCACAGATGAAAATGGCAGGGCTGTCAACCAAAATCCACTCCAATAATCAGCATGGGCTGGTTTCTGGCAAAGCCCCATTGCAATTTGCAAAGCGAAAAAGGCTTTTATTTCATTAGGAGATGTGTCTTTCCAGGCTCGAAAACGAGCATTGTGCATACCTGTTTGTCTCCCTTGAAATCAGTTCAAAAGCTTCATTTGGGAAGAAGAGATAAAAAAAGTCGACTGGGACATAATTAGATGCATCAACAAGTATTTCCGGCCGTTTGTCAAAATTTTGAAGCCATGTGGACTCGAACGGATCAATATCCTCGTAAAATTCCCACTCTATTTCTCGCTCACGAGCGATACCACGTCTAGCTCCTCGTGCTCGCTGCAAATTTTCCTCGTCGGCTGACATGTCTGTGTTGAAATCATCAATGCTATTCTCCATTTCACCTTCGGAAGCCGATTCCATGTTGATTTCAGTGTCACTGGCACTTTCGCTTTCTGAACCACTTGCTTCTTCCATTTCAGAGTCACTGTCGCCAAAAATAGTATCCAAAGCCTCTTCAACAGTAAATCTTCGATTAGACACCATACTTAAATGCCCAAAGTTGTAAACAAATAGAAATATGGATTTCTCGAGTCAAATATGAGCTAAATTTGCTTCGTTTCGAGTCGAAAATGAAACCAGCACGTGTTTTGATTAACCTGATCTAAGAAGCTATTTCATTGGTTAGTT